GCCGTCGAGTCGGCCCCGACTCATAGTGACCCCTCCTTGGGTTTCCGAGGCAGTATCACTATGGAAGTAGGATTGCCCAACCTTTCTTCCGAGGAGTGGCTGGTGGGTTTGAACCGCCAGCCTTCTTGTTAGCAGTGAAGCTCCTTAGGCACTATATCCTCAGGTAAAGAATGAGTATTTCATAAAATAAATGCTACATATTTAATAATCAAGAAAAAGAAACTTTAACCTTTACAAGTTTATTATTTTTACTTACTTTGAAGTTGATCCTGAAAGTTGCATCCCTCTGTCTAGCAAAGAATTAGCTGCGAGCCCCTGTTTGATAACCTAGAATAATATAAAACATAGTCTAGAATTTTAATAATAATTTCTCAAATTTTATGTTATCTACAAGATATTTCTGAGTATTGAATTTACCTTGCTCATATGACTTTAGAAGCTCTGGTGGTGTAGTGCCTAAGGCATTTGACTGCCAACTAGAAAGCTGGTGGTTCAAACCTACCAGACACTCATTGGAAGGAAGACTGGGTCATCTATCTCTGTAGAGATAGCACCTTGGAAACCCAAGGAAGGGTCGTTATGAATCAGATCCAACTCGATGGCAATGAGTTTCTTGTTTTTTTGGGGGGAGGAGGGAATATGACTTTGATATATTCAATATAAATGTTTGACAAATAGAGAAAATCACAGAAACATTCAAGAGGGAATTTCATTTTGTTTCTTCAGACAAATGGCAGGGCAGGGTTGTGAAAGTTGAGGAAAGAAAGTAGAAGATTACAATTAAAGTTTAAAAGTAAGTGCTTTGATGTTTTTCCTCCTGAGTTCCCTTTTAACTTCAGCTTTTCTTACGTTAATTTGTGAGTCCACAATCTTTTAGAACAGCCAATTTTTAAATTGGAAAGCAATGACACAGAGCAGTATTAAAGTGCTAGGAAAATTATGCTTGTATTTTATATCCATAAAAGATACCAAAATAAATGAGGTACTTGAACAACTAACTGAACTTCTGTAAATGCTGGTTAATTAGTTATTTAGATTTAATGAAGAAAAGTAACTTTCTTATCTTCTATGTTCTATTTTTGAAGTTGTTTTAAGATATATATTTATTGACCTATCTTTTACAGAAATTTCATATCTAACTAGATTTATTGTAAAATACTACTAAAATAGTTCCAACCTCTCAGGTACTATGTTGCACAGCCAGTACCATTCAATTTTATACTGGAAAATTCATATATCAATGTATTTCTAAGTGGAATAAAGAAAATATAAAATTTTGTCAGGGGCCATTTATCTTGGATAAGACATGAAATGTGTATAACTAGAAAACTAAAACTTTGCAATGACTGCTAATACTTTTTCTTATTTCAATGCATATTAATCAAATACACACACACATCTGTGGATATTCAACATGATTTATCACATTTCTATCATGACTGATACATCTTAAATCCAAGAGGACATCATCTCTCACGTAGATTGCTGCAACAGCCTAAGTGATCATTCTACTTCTTCTCTTGTACAGTCACAGTTCATTTCCATTTAGTAGCCAAAGTACTTGAGATCACAGTACATCTCCTTAAAGCTTATAAAGAATTTCCTAGTGAATAAACTAAAATTTTAACTTCTGATACCATGGCCTGTAAATCCTGAATAATCTAACCCTGTTTAAGTCTCCTGCTTCATCATGAACAACTCTCTCAATTCACGGACTATACTTCAGGCACTCTGGCCATTTTCCCAGTTGAGATCTTTGCCTTGAATGCAATGGCCCCAGCTTCTCCCATTCTCATTCCTCCCCATCTTTCAAATTTCAGCTTAAATATTACCTCCTCAGATAATCTCCCATGTCCATACAATCCAAGTAATCCTACCCCATTATTCTCTATTCCTGTATCATTTTATTATCCTCATAAGATTCTTCTCAATTTATAACCATTTATTTATCTGTTTACCTACTGCCCATCTCCATCCTCTATGTCCATTTCCCTCTCACCACTGTGCATCAAATGCCTAGCACACAGTATATAAAATCTCAAAGAATGATTGAATAATATTTAGACACTTCAAATATGTATCACTCACTGCCGTCCAGTTGTTCCTGATTCATAGTGACCCCCCTTGGGTTTCCAAGGGGACATCACTATGGAAGTACATTGTCCAACCTTCCTTCTGAGGAGTAGCTGGTGGGTTTGAACCGTCAGCCTTCTGGCTAGCAGTCAAATGCTTTAAGCACTATGCCACCGGTATATGTATGCATATATATGTATATAACCAAAAAACCACTATCATCAAGTTGATTTTGACTCATACAGCTATAAAGGACAGAGAACTGCCCCCTAGAGATTCCAAGGCTTTAAATCTTTACAGAAGCAGACTGTCTCCCACAGAGCAGCTGGTGGGTTCAAATCACTGACCATTAGGTTAGCAGCCAAGCACTTTAACCACTGTGCCACTAGGGCTTCTTTATTACATATATGTATACCACCTAATATGCCTGAATATTGTTCACCAGTTCCTAAGATTTTTTTTTAATGTTTAATTTTGATCTTTTACATTGTAAAAATTTCCATAATTTTAATAAACTTTTCATATTATTTTGATATACTGTCATCTTTCCAAAAAAGCTAATTACAAAATACATGACAGAAACAGACAATAACCACATCAGTACTAAATAATAAGATTTCAAATGTTAAGCAAATGGAATTGGGTTTGCAAGCAAGTAGCTACAGAACAGGAGAAAGAACAGAGAGTACTAAAAACAATTACAAAATTTATTTTTAAGATATAAAATACAAATTTCACAGAAACACTTAGATCCTACTATTGCAATATAAAGTAGACACAAATTATATGTTGAGCAACTAGATTAACACAGTGTAACCAGGTCTTAAACCATTTTTCAACCTGATATGCTCATATTTTTAACTTTTATCAATAACTCTGAGATTTACTATGATACCTGAAGCCATGACTCCATAAATAATATCAAAATACCAGTTAGAGTAATTAAAAATCTATTCTCCTAAATAAATATATCAGTGGAAAGTAATGACTTGGTTTATACCTTAAAAGTCGGAACAGAAAGCTGTTCAAATGATGATGAACTTTCTTCACTGGTTGGCGTATCCAGGTCAAGGGGACGGTGCAATGAGGATTTAGAGGTTCTTTTGTTGGTTGGGTGCTTAACCGACCAATTAATTACCTGGAACTGAGTAAGGTAAGTCTGATAACAACTCATCACAGGTTGCTGAGAAGTAATCTGTTCACTTTCTACTGTTTTCTCCCCTTCTATAATATACAGATGTTCTGTAACTTCATCCTCTCCACCTAATGCAGAAACGAATGAAGCCTGGGAAGGATGAGTTTTGAATGGCAGGGTTCGGGGATCCTGAATGCTTTCTCCATGGCCAGTAAGTGGTCCTTCCACACTGTGATATATGGAACCCCTACTGTAGTCAATCTGCTGAGTCTGCTTTTTCTTCTTTTTTCTGCCTGGATAAGTTCCTGGGCCTTCATCACTGCTAATAGGTTCAAATTCTTCAGCTGCAGAAAAGTAGGCTTCACTGTCAGCCATTGACATGCTGGAATCCATGGATCGATACTGATGAAATGAATTAGAGTCTGCTGATGGGGTGTACGGGAACGAACCAAAACTTCTTCTTTGCTTTGGTGAGTCTAGCACATTCTCATCACTTCGGGAGACATCACTACTAAACTGGACTCCAACTGTAACAGGCTGCTTGTCTGCATAAAAAGCAGCAGTAAGACTTTTGGTACTTCCAAGACGGGTGGAACACACAGAGGCTTGTCGTTTCAAGGGAGATCTGAGAGGAGACTGACCTACTGACTTATCCTGAGCATTAGGAGACACAGGGCTATTTCCTGAAACTTCTGTAGGGATACTGAAATAGAAAGCCAAGCTGTTACCATTTTTCATACATCATATAACTTAATCTAAGTATAAATAGAAGGATCAATAAAATTCTTTTAGTAATTTTAATAATTTATTTTCCAAAGAAAGAAAAAAATCTAAAAATTTACAATACCTACACAAAGTAGTGAAACAGCACAATATGTTTATATGTTGTTGTTGTTGTTGTT